CAGACAACCTTCGCGACGATTTAGAGAAAGCTGGATATAAATACGTTGGAGTTGCTCCACATACATTATCCGGTCAAGATCATTGGTTTTTTTATATCACGCCGATTAGTGAAATTAGTTCAAAGGGTTATGGGTTTGATCTTCATGTGTTATTACCAATGGCTCACCAATGGCTGCGAGAAACCGTTAATTTTTGTCAATATTTAACAGAAAATCAAATAGATATTTCGTCGTAATAGCAATTGCTGTATCGTGTACCGGTTTAGCTAATCCAATATTTGTGATCGAAGTTGAACCAATATGAACAATTCCATCTGATGAAAGTTCTTTATCAAAAATATGCTGCCATTTTGACAAAATAATATTATTCAAACGCAATTTTTCATTTAGAAACTCTTCTTTCCATCTTGGTGTCCATGGTTGTAGAATAAGTTCGTTATTACCGCGAATGTAGTGTAGATTAATAAATGTTCTAAATAATAAACGTCTTTCATATAAAGTCCAGATTATCATTATAAATCCATAAACGATGATAATGTGAATAGCATATTCTTTGAAACCGAAAAAACAAATTAAAGCATATAAACATGATATGAAAATAATATGCAGTATCTTTCTTGTTCTTGAATGGTGCATTAAACCAAGTGCAATGATAAATGATATAACCCATACTTTAATTACTTTCAAATCCATTTTAATGCTAAAGACAATCCAATGAAACAATAAAAGTACAGAACTGATCTATCTGAAAAGAAAATGACCAAATAACTGCCTATAGACAAGAGACAGATATTTGCGCTTTTCGCTAGTTTGTAGCACATCGACTGATGAAAAGAAAAAGTTGCAGATACAATCCGTTTTATAGATCGAATTTACCGTGTACGCTTTTACATAGCTTTCTTTACATGTTTAAGAGTGATTATGGTTAATTTGATACTGTTCTTTTTTAAAACTTGATCCCCCAAAAAACGTAAACGTTCGAAGATTTCTGTACCATAAATTGATAGTAGGTGCTGACTAGTCTTGGAAAAAATGGGGCTGCAAACAACCTTTTCTTTGTTTTCCACACAAGAAAACACTCGATCTAGCGTCCTACGCATCTCACGCCCATATATTTTTTCTTCATAGAAACTACCGGATGCATGATTATTTAGTGTATTTTATAAAAATTATAAAAATGAAAACATGTAATATCTACATTATATGCGAGTTTCCTTCCCGTTAAAACGTTATTGCTATCAGCTATTATTTCAATCCTTTTTTAAACTACTATATAGCAAGCCATGTATATCATGAGATCCTCCATATTTTAAAAACATTTATACTGAGAAGTTAGATTCATTTAAGTACAAGAAAACAAGTAGAAGAAAACAATGATGACAAGACCAAGGTGGTGACGGACATTTAGTGGTATTATTTTAATGGTTTACGCATCGTAGTTTAAATGTCTTTTCTGAGACTGCTGATTTTGAAATAATACACATGTAATTCTTTAGTAAAATTGTGACTATGGAAAACTAACGGATATATCGAAATAAAGGTCACCCTCAGTATTTATTTACTTCAACTTTCATTGCTCAAATTTGAATTTTTTTAAAAGACTTTTCGTTCACTTTTCCACAAAACATTATGGATGTGAATCCCAAATTTAAGAAATTTATAGAATTCAGAACGGAAGGACCGAATTCAGATGAATTATATGCCATCCTTGCAGTTTTTCGCGGTGATTCCGAATATATATATATCATGTAGAAAAAAATGTTTTTTGAGTGCGAAAAGGTCAGTGTACCTCAATAACCGAGGGATTTTGGAAAATCAATATCCCAGTCCAGGAAAATATGCGGACTTTTGCGCGTTCACCATAGATGCACGGCCTCGCGAGTAACATTTTGGTATAAAAATATGTTAGTTCAAACCTGCACTAAGCTGCGCGTTCCCAAAATATCGGAGAGAGCCTTTAAAGCCTAGACCGTTTTCGAAAGAATCCATTCCAAAACTCTTAAGTTTCACTCGAACAACAAAATTCTTTTTTATTTCGTATTCGTCTGACTGTGTTCTTTCCGAATATGATCTCGGTTTTATTCTAATTTACTATCCTTTAATAAAAATCGAAATTTTCCGAAAAAATAGCGCATTCACATGGTGTTTTTGCATTTCAAGTCTTTTATAGAAGGAAAAGTCGTAGAACAAAAATTCTTTCGCCATTAAATCGGCCGTTACTCGAAGTATATGAAACACTATTTAAATTGGGAAAACGCAAGCTCACTGTTTTTTTCTAATTTCCACCTGAATGCCCACTGTGCAATGTGAGGGAAGAAAACTGGATTCGATATTCAACAACAATACTTTTGGGTTTTATTCACCTCACAAGACAATATCGTGGTCATAAAGCTGACATGTACGAAAAATTTCTTTATCAATAATCGCAAAACAAATGCTGTATATTTCTACATACATGATTAATCGAGCCTGAACAAATTCACTTTAACAGCAAAAATAGATAGAGTCTTGAGAAGCCTTTTGCAATAGAACCTTCTTAGCACGCAAATGATTATTTGAGTTAGAAAGTAATAAACCATTTATGTAAGAGCATAGCACGTTGTTTGCAAGAAGGACATATTACGAACAGGTTTATCTCTACTTATTTAACTCACTTTTCTTTGTATAGTGACATTTAGTTCTTATCAAAGTGTAAGGAAGAGATATTTTAAAAAGCCGTGTTGGATGAAAAAAATGATGTTCGTAACGGTAGAACCAAAAAGAAATCCTTTTGGCGTATATGAGTTTCAATCGCTCTGTTTCTTTTGATTGATTCGAAAAAAAACCCAGCACGTGGGAATTCCGATACAACGATCGAATCGCAGAAAATCAAGATCTCGCTTCACTTCAGTTTTTAATAGAAGATCTCGGGCTACCTGTCCGTGAAAAAGAATCAATACAACCCTATTGGAAAATTTTACACAAGACCTTATTTTTAGTATGTTATATGAATGCGCGGCAGATTAAGTCAGTAATCTTTTAGTCATTTCTGTATTAGCTGTGTTTACTTGAATTGCTTGTATCAACTTGTGCTACTGTGTACTCATGACTGTTTGTCAATAAACTAAACCAAACTGGCTTCCCAAAGATCTCTCAGAAAACTTGTTTGAGAAAACTCTTTTGAAAAACATTTTGCTTATGAAAACATGCCTTCAAGCCGCCTGTCACACGATGAAAACTGGACCTGTGTACCCGCTTTCTATCAATAGTTCTTCAAAAAGTACTCATGGATCGTTATAGTTTTGTACGGACAATAGTCAGTTAATAAAGTTTAAAAAATATTTAGAGTGCACCTGCAGTAGAACTCCAGCAAATCCCCAAAAAACCGAAAATTTATGCAGCAATTCTAAGACAGGAGACGATAGCCTGCTCAATTCTGAGTGGAATGAGACGTTCAGCAGTTCTCCGCGATCTATTATCGCCGAGGTATGAGAGTTTCAGAGATTCGCCTGCGTCGAACCAATAGAAACCTTGTATGGAAAGAAGCGTTGCTAAAGCTTTGAATTACACATGTTTTATTTCAAAATTAGCACTCTGAGAAAAGGCATTTAAACTACGATGCGTGAATCAGTTGCGAGTTAGTTGCTTGCATCTATCTCAAAAGAAAACAGAGAAAAATAAAATAGATTGAAGCACCTTATTTTAAGATGTATTATCCGTCCATCTTATTTCAGTATTTAGTCGCTATGAGTAGGACAAGAAAGTACTCAGTAAGGTGCTGAGCGACCGTACAGTAGATGGAAGAAAAATGGAAAAAACAGATTTGTTCTAAAAATCGTCCTTCTTTGTGTAGAGTAATGAACACAAAACAAAAGAAATCATTGATTTCTCCGTCTTTTGTGGATATAGCTCGTGTAGAACACAGGCGAACCTGTGATAGAATTCGCAGCTCTTTAGTTTATCGAGATAAACCAATAGAAAAGACACATTTTGCAAAATACTGAAATACCATGATGTTTGGTCAAGCAGGCATTATTACAACATCTCCTATTTTTTCGCAGTGTACTACTGGCAAAATCATTAATTAATTTTCATAAATTAATTACTGAGCTCATTTCTCTCTTTTTACTGATGAAAATAAAATCTACCGAGCTCGTTTGTCTCCTTTCAGAGTATAAATTAATTTCCGAGCTCAAAACTCTCATTTATATAAAAAATATAATTTTATCACAACCGAGCCCATTTATCCCATTTTAAAGCCAATTAAGTTTACCGAGCTCAAATATCTCTTTTTTCCGAGCTCATTTATTATTTTATCCAGAACCCTTGTTATTATTGTAATTTAGCTCATGCAACATCCACAACTCTAAGTGCCCAAAGAGAAAACATCAAAGAGAGGGAATTATCAAGCATCACAAATACAGGAATCTTTCTATGTAAGGCGTTCTTTAATCCATTTCGAAATGGATTAAAAGAAAACGGGAAATCTGCGGCTGCGAATCATATGCTCGACGACAAAAGGCACGTCGTCAGATTCGATCAACCCATTATCGTAGCCCGTGATAGGAAAAAAGAGCATCCAGCTGCTGCATACAATAAGGTCAGCCATGAGCTCATGGTGTTTAATTAAACAGCTCAAATATTCAAACTCACACTTTTAGTTTTTTGAGTTTTGATTTAAGTTTTACGTTTAACAACAATGAATTTCTACGCTCTCTCTCACTATAACCTATATATATATAGTGTGCATATTTCGTAGCATTTTTCACCACATTCTCTAAGAGTATGAAAAGAATATTCTTAGAAATATCTGCTACCTTCACATATGAGAAGAGAACAGAAAAGAATAGTAAAATGAACATACATATATACTGTGAGTGTTATCCATCTAAACGTAGCTGACAATGATTACAGTTGTAATGGAAAGTTAATAATTTAGCTACATTTACATTGTATTTCTTAATGGAATGTCAGAATAGAAAACAAGATTATACATCTTACTTTCCCTAATTAATTAATTGATGGAAACCAAATCCTCAACTTTTTTAAAAGTAGCTTTTTCCTATCTGTTTAATTAAAGGGAACTAAATCGTGCAGATCAAACTAAATAGTACAGCTGATCAATACATTTCTTTTGATAGACGTCTCTATCTCTGCAAACGTAACACAAATTCGAATGGTAGGTGCCATTAACCAGTGGACTTTAGGCGTAATCTTGTATCAAAGTATTGTTTTATCAAACATTGTAGGATGACTAAACTAGTATGAATACGCATGACTGAGTGTATTTTGACTTACTATGTACTACACTGGAACCTTCACCTCAGGACTTACAGTGGCTCGAAAAATTGATCATACAGCGCACAGATTTTTTCAGTATTTTGATCATAACTTTGTAATGGTAGGTCATAGAGAGCTGCGGTTTTCACCATTGTATTCAGCATAATGTTTTCTCTAAATGTATCAATTTTGGTGTAAAAATTCGTTGACCCTAATGTTTTATTAAAAAAATGCGAAAATACATCGTTTTCTTTGCCCGAAAAATTGTTCATACAGTGCAAAAAGAACCTAAAAGAACAACTTTTTCGTTGTTGGACAATGAAAAAAAACATACGGCATTTGTGCATAATTCTTTTTCACTGCATAAACCATAAAAATATTCCGAAATTTTTCTTCTTAATAGCATTTTAGATAAACAGTTGGTAAAATGGCACTAAATCGACGGGAGTATTCTAATGATCTTCGATTTGTTGTCATTCCACATTTTCTCAATGGTAATTCATATACAGAAATTAGTAAAAAAACATTTGTCAAACGACTCACCGTGCAATCGATGATCAAAAAGTATAAAAACACAAAATGTATTGGACACATAATTGGCCGGGGTCTTAAACGAAAAACGACCGGCGCAGTCGATCGTATAATTCAACGTAAATTAAAAGTGGATCGTCGAAATCGGCATTGTCAGTGAAAATAGAACTTGAACAAGAATTAGACATGGTAATTCATGAAGATACGGTTCGTAATCGTGCAAATGAAATTGGTTTTTACGGCCGTACAGCACGCAAAAGACTTTATGTAAATAGGGGTAGTCGTTTTAGACGTATAAAATATGCAAGGCGTATGTTAAAACAGCCGTTTGGTTACTGGAATAATGTCTTGTGGTCGGACGAGTCACAATTTAATTTGTTTGGTTCGGACGGGAAAGTTATGGTTTGGAGATCGCCGAAGGAAGAATTTGATCTCAAACGCACGGTAGCAACAGTCAAACATGGTGGCAGTATTTTGAAAGTGTGGGGATGTTTTTCGAGAGCCGGTGTTGGTAATCTATTTTTTATTGACAGAATCATGAACAGATTGTATTACAAAGAAATATTAGAAAAAAATCTGCTTGCGTCGTCAAATAAATTACGTTTAGGCAAGAAATTGGTCTTTCAACATG